TATAGGATTGTTAACAACACATTACATGTCAGTCATCTATTAAGAACTATAGTGATATTTTTGTCACATTATAGATATAAGCAAGTAGAACTGTAGATGTTCCACATGTACTAGGAATCTATCTTGTTTCAATAAATATGTTCTGTTCTTTAATTGTTTGAATTAGACTAGGTTGTAGAGATCATTATTCTTGAGACAATCCAGGTCACAGCAAGCTTTCTAAATTTTCAAAATTAGAGAACAATATTCTTATTCAATAGGACTAAATCTGTGTTGTGCAGAGAGTTTGGAGGGGGGGGGGTATTTCCTCACTGGGTAAACAGATTCCATGCCAATTAACAAATTGTAAGAGATAGTGTATTGACTGTACTTTCGTAGGTCAAGTTGGTGTCAATAAATTACAGTTGCAGATGTGATTAAACAAAATCCCAATGTCAAGACGCATTTCGAACATCATCTGTATGGTTACTGTGCAGCTCATTATCAAACTCAATCAACAGAATTGGCTTGTTTTGTAATTAAGTCATAAGAATTTTGAGTTTTCTTGGTAAGTTGAGTCCTATACCACTGTCAATTCTAAAATGGCATAATCTGCAAAAATGGCTTCCATAGATACAGTTTGGCATCTGATGTATGCTGACTTTCTTTAAATATGATTATGAAATAAATCTTAAATGCTTAGAAATTTGCATAAAATGTGTTATTAGTTTTATGCAACATATAAGCAAAGAAAATCTGTGTAGTACTAATTTATGAATTTGTAACAGCATTTCGGGGGGTTGGATGGCCGAATGGTTAACATGTGTGCGCTGTCATTGAGGTCTGTCATTAAGTCAACTGGCGTGGTTTCGATTCCCAGGTTGTACGTGACAAGGAATAGGGTCGCCTGTCCAACCTCGTGGGTTTTCTGCGGATCCTCCAGTTTCCTCTCCCTGCTATAGACCCCTATGGGCGAGCGAATTATTGAAATAAAACTCTTATGTAACATTTTGTTTTGAAAGATTTTAATGTGTGGGTTTATCTTTCATAACACTAGAAGACAAGTCTTTAAATAGCATCATAATAATATTTTTATTGTGGGGTTTATTTTCAATGTTACTCTCAAGGTGTAACCTGAGACTCTATCTATATTTTAAGATTTACTTATTGATGATAGGCTATATTTATCTCCAGCAAGTAATGAGTTTGCCTCATAGAAGAAAAACCTTGGCAAATTTTCATCTTGGTTATTTTACTTCTGTGATAACGGCTCTAATGTCTTGTTTATCCCACTTGCGAAAATGTGAAAGGCTCTTTCCCAAACTTTTGTATAGAATAGCGTATCTGTCTTCAATTTCCATGCCATGTTTTTACAGATGCAGAATAAATTTAAAAGATTTTTATAAAAACAGAAATGATCAGCATGCCTTAATAACAGATATCATTTACTAAATAGCTCAAGTGTAAAGATACATAATACTCAAATTATACTATCAATGCCAATACTGTGAAATGTTGAATCAACAGTAGTTTCTGTACTTGTCTCAGTACTGGAAGCTGATATGAGGTACATCATTCATAACAGAAGTTGTGTTGCATTTGTTGTTGGTTAGGACAGTGGACTGGGTTGAAATCCTGGTGTGAATGCCCACTTGTCATTATACCTAGATTTAAAATGACAAATCTTATCCTTTAAACATTTGGGTATATATTAAACACATTATTCGTTATTGGTGTCAAAAGGTGATAATTGCTAGTAATTTGTTTAAGATAGAAAGAAATGGGGAATAATTTCCACTTAACACAAACTAGGTCATTTTGGCACTTATATAGTACAATTTTGTATAAATAATTTGCTTGCGTGTTGGGGGTCTTTATAATTAGTAGTGGATAGGGAAACCAGTGAACCCGGAGTAAACCCACATGGTCAGACAGGGGACCCTACTCATCATGTACAAGCATGGGATCAAAACCACGCACTTGACTCTGGCAGACCATTCGGACACCCAGCCTTCTAATTAATAGTAATTGGCTTAATCGATTTTGAATACGAAAATTCACTGTTTCTTTATAAAACATTTCAAATATCATGAAAGGTATTCATTGGTCCCCTTGTGACATTAAGGATATTGGTGGTGGCTCAGTAAGTAAGATGATTTTCTGGAATGGTTCTCCATTGTCAATGGTGAAAGCTACGGTCAAATGTATACATTAGCGTGTGCGTAAAAAAAGCCATCACTGTTGGAATACTTAATAAGAGTAGGCACACTCTATGGCATATGCCTGTCTCCATTATCTCAGTCGATACATAAAAGTAGGACATTAAACCCTATTTCATTTAATTTCATTTTCATGTGACTGGCCATAATTCAGTATATAAAAGACGAAATGTTTAGATATAAAATGGTGAAGTTGTAAGGATAGAATACAAGTATTATATAAACTGTATACTATCTGTAACCTTTTCATCAGCTAGTATGAGAGAAGAGTTTCAGCTGTTTATTAGCTACCCTACCATCAAAGAAGAAAATCTTCTAGTATTTAACATAGACAGGTGTTAGTAGACAGAATATTCAACCCTGAAAAAACAAGTCTAATCATTACAGCACTATTAGACAAGAATTCTGTATTAGTCCTTTGAGTTTCAGATGCCTGAAGTATTTAGATACTTTCAGAGCATCTCAATTCAAGTTTGATCAACTTATGTCAAGAAGGAATGGGCTTTATCAACTATTGCTTAGAGGATTTTAAGATTATTGCACTCATAGTTTTAATTTTATGTGATTAAAAGACAAGGAAAAGGAAGAAAATATTACCAGGACAGTTTATGCCCAGTGTTGGATTGACCATTAGGGCCAGCTAAAAATCCAGTTGTTTTGATAATTATCAGGTGATGACAAAAATGTTTCCCTTTATTATATGTAAATAAATAACATCCTTCTATCCTTAAAGGCTTTTCATACTCTGTGTTGCCTGGATGTTTCGTCCCTTTACGCATGTGAGGTTTTTTGTTTATCTGTATTTTCAGACCACCCATCAAAATGTGTCTTAGGGCCAGTAGAGCCTTAATCCGGTAGTGTTTATGTCCACTCTTTAGGGAATTCTGAATGTTGATACTGGATTTCTTTTTAGTATCTGGGAACATCTAGTGAAATATCCTTGCCAGCTTTGAAAAAAAGGAATACGATACATAGGGACATTAGCCACATTTCCTTGCAAGTTGCAAAACCTCAAAATGGTAATCCTTTTGGAACATGATAACATTGCTTCTAAATAATGTAGATTGTTGAAACTTGATGAAGATTTTCATTAGGTTAATTTCTTGACTCCATTCAGTGACAAACATTTTCTGCTTGGGCTAAGCATAAGCTAAGCAGAGATAATTTGATTTGTCATGGCTTGGAACACATTAACTCTGCTTGTAATTGAAGTAGCTTGGTGAAGATGTTCATTAGGTGAATGTGTTGACTGAGTTTGGTGATGAGCCTTTTCTGGTTAGGCTATAAGCACAGATAAGCAATTATATCAATACATCATCTAAGTTCCATTGCTCATTGCTATTATTCTTGGCTTATTTGATCACAATTACTTCTGTGTTGAATAAGAAAAAATTATTGTAGATAAAACATTTAGGGTTTTGTATCTTTGCATGCAAAAGACCATAATTAATGTCATACAAAAAAGTTTTGTGTGAATCACGGTGGATGTTTGTGGTATATATTGAGCAATAATGATGTAAATCTAGTATATTTGTCAGGTTATTTTTGTTTATATTCAGTTAACATTTGCTGTACGATATGTAATATGATAAAATTCTGCGTTTATATACATGCTCATGTGTAGTTCAGTCACCAGGTGCTGTGTGCAAAGAATATTTTGCGTAGTAATTCATATCAAGGTTTTATTTTACATTGGTTGGGTGGATTATTTTGTGTGTTTATTGATATTTTTTCTCAAGTTTGAAGAAGAAACTAGTGGAAACAAATTTTGAGAAAATTATTTTTGAAATTCTGTTGTGGTGTGGTTAAAGTTTTTGTAAAATCTTCAATACTGATACTGTTCTCTTATATGCATACTATACAAGTTTTATGAAATTTGATGAATATATTTTTTTTTATTTGCTACAATGAGATTCTGTATACAGTATTAACAGTATGTCGTACACATCTACCATCTGTCATCCATGATTTATTTAGGAGTAGGCTTACACATATTGGATGATTCATTCAGATTCTTACATTCTCTATATAATTGCATTATACCAAAATATCGTAAGTAAAAAATGGTCCTAGCATACTGGCATGTATATCTGGATTGAATTAATTATATAAGTTAAATGTATACAAGAATTTAACGTTTACATTTTACTTCATGCCAAGGCCACATTCTACATGGCCATGTTCTTCAAATGATTGGCTGTTTTATTATCCATCCGTTGAACATCAGCAGAATATTGGATCTTCCTTCATCAATAACATAAAACAATTTTAAAAGGAAATATTACTGCAAAACAAACTAAATTATATCTTCATGATTTGATGTTTGCCCTATATGTAAAATGTTTTTAATTGGATCCTCTGTCATTCATGCACAGAACATGGGGCAGGTACTATAACTATTATGTAAAGATTTCATATCGCCCTCTTCTACTTTCAATAATCTCAACATGCAAAGATTTTTTTTATCTTACCTGAATGTCTATGGTCCCGGTTTCCAGAAAAATCTTAAGTTCATTTTCAATGCTTAGCCTACTTCTGAGAACACTCATTTAATAGGTTTTAGCAAACTTTTGCACAGAAACACAGATACATATGTGGACCGTTATAAATTTGATTAAATTCCTGATACAGCTAATAATTGTTCTTATTTTGACATGCACTTAATATATATATGCTAGGAACTCATCCTGATCTTGACTCACTTTTGGAAAATTATAGTATAGTAAGTTTTGACAGAAAAGAATTTATAACAGGACCCATATTTTAATATATTAATAATGTAAATTGTTTTGTGTTTTGTAGGGGGAGATTAGCTCCCAGTCCCGATATACTGTCCGTGATCCACCAGTTTCTAACTATAATACCTTCACCATGAGTTCCTACGACCACATAACCAATGAAGAAGAACTTCAAAAATTGGTAGGTACTCATATATTATTATCAAAGACTAGAGTATAGAATTTTGCTGACAGAGATTCTGGTGTTGGCAATCCCTGTGAAGTTTGAACAAATTATATGCTTGAATTCAAGCAGTTTATATAATTGGATTCAAACAGTTTATATGCATGCATTCAAATAGTTTAATTATTCTTTCATTCAAACATTTGATATGCTTGGATTCAGAGTCTGAATTTCATAAGCTTGAATTCCATTTATATTCACTGTAGTCAGGTCAATATATGGAAAATCTTTTGCGCCCAAAAACCTGGGGATAGACATCAAGATCATCAAATTTGAGTCAATAGTTATGGACTTGCGATCATTTGGAGGTGTTGGCAGCCATTAATGAGTTCTTTGCCCCCCAAAACCTAGGAATAGACTCCAAGATCATCAAATTTGAGTTGATAGGTACATAATTATGATCATTAATACGTTCCGGTGGCCATCTTTGACACCATCTTGAAAAAGACACTTTTCTGGGGGCCCTTCTTTGGTAAACTTTTATTATGTTATAAAGTACACTAAACCCTGCCAGAATCAGTTGAAAAACCTTTTGTAGCAATTGTTTGGGGGTTAAACAGTATTTTGACCTGACTACTGATCAGATTCCATTTATAAGCTAACATTCTTCAATACAAATGCAGAGATAAATAGATTTGATCTCCCACTATAAACAATTGTCTATACATTTAAACTGGTCATTTAACAAATTATATGTCATTTGTTCTTTTAAAGATAAAAGACAATACATTGTCAAAATATTTTTTGCTATCAATCAAATATTCCCTTTTGATTATACAACAACCCTTTTAACCTGTAATATATATAGCTATGAACATTACCTAGAATAAACATTTGTTGTAAGCTAGGTGAGATCTTTTCCAATGATAAACTAAAGATGTAAATAATATAATATACACCAAGTATGATATTAATGGCTGCCAAGATTACACTTGGGGAAAATTGCCAAACATGTTTTATCATCTAGAGGTTTAGAATAGTCCGAGAAAGTAGATGTTAACACACATGTATGATGTAAACATTTTGAGGCTACCCAAATAAAATAGAAACGATTCAATTTTGTCTATTGTCCAATTTGTAGGTTACTCTCTAACAGTGCTTGTATTGCAAAAAATTTCAGAGTTAACATCGTCCCAGTAAGAAGAAGTTGTTACGAAAAATGCATTCAAAGCTAGCATCTTCTCTGTAAAATGGAATAAGAAGCTTTTACAAATATAATTCTAGCTAGCATCTTCCCTGTAAAATGACATAGGAAACTTGTAGGCCTACCATAAATTCAAAGCTGGCATCTTCCTTATAAAATGGCACAGGAAGCTGTTACAAAAATGCCAAAGCTAACACCTATATATACACCTATCCATGGGGCTCTCACGTTGGTAATATTTGCCAGTCTTACAGGACTGGCAGAAAAATTCACATGTTCAAGCTATTTAATAAATAGACTTACCAGAAAAAGTTCTTCAAAACCAAGTAAATCTGTATTTTTTTTATGTAAAAACCCCATTAAAAACCGCATGGAACTATTTCTGATCAATCTATGATATAAAAAAATTAGGTCACTTGAAGTGATAGCAGGATGAAATATATTGTGTTTATACCTAATGGGTATCATACCAAATCAAATTGAATATGTATGTTCAGAATTGTGAAATTATAGAAAAGCATCTTTAATGCCATATATTTGTTATTACGGGAAAATTTGAATAATTAGAAATTAATATTCTGCGGTCTTCTTTGATTTGAAAAGTTGGGTTGTAGTATAGAGAGAGAGAGCTAGAACATGTGTCTAACTAACCTTTATAGCTTCTTTTGTATCTGTACCTAGGGATCCGTAATCCTGTTGATGTAGCCATACAGGGTGGACAAATAAACAAAGAAAGGATATCTTTATCATGAAAGTCTAACTGTAACAGGTTATTGTTATATATAAATATAGCACCAACTGTTACTGCTTCCATAACTTCTATTATAAATATATACACATCAAATAACTTCTCGGTCAGACTCAACAAATTTCTGTTATGTAGTCCGCTTAACTAGAATAGAATCCTGTTTTATTGCAAGTTTAGTTTTATCTCAAATCTTGATGAACAATATTGTTAATGGCAAGAGTTTCTACAATTTTGACAACCAGATATTTTTATGTCTGCTATAGATACAACATACAAATGTGAAAACCTAGTCTTTTGATACAAATTTTTCTTTCATTTATTCCTTACTTTTAAGAAATAATGAATGATTTTGACAAAAAGTATGATGAGATGGTCATTGGGATTGTGTGTTTTGTTACCAGTATTTGAATTTCCAGAATTTCTGAATAAAACAATTTATCGGCTGGTAGATTTCACCATAAAATAAAACATTTTCAAATCAGCTGGATATTGGTTAGCAAAAAAGGCCCAACTAGGAGATCTGTTTTAATATATATGGGCTGGCACAGAGAAAATGTTTGTCACAAAAAATGTCTTTTCATATTGTCTGTGTAGGAATTGTTAAGGTGTTAATTAGTAACAATACCTTTTAGTTTAAGATACCGGTAATAGTATTGACATCAGCTAATTTGACAGGTCAATCAAGATAAACAGATACTATTTCATTAATGGATTGACCGTAGATTAACTCATGAGAATCAACAGGTATCTTTCGGTTCATCTTTTAACATGATCAGGTCAAGTTGAGTTTCAGTAAAAAGAATAGATATCATCTTGGCAATACAACCAATATATATTTGTGTATTCTCAAATCTGTTCATTCTGAGGATATGCCTGATCTGGAGATATTCAATATTAATGTAAGAATGATATTTTGTATTCTTGAAAGTTATATCCTTGAACTAAAAGTTTTCCTTTGATACAATATATTTTTTCAATTTTATTTTTCCAATATTCAATAGATGAATGAAACAGAAAGTTTTGATGAAAAGAAAAAGATTAGAACCAGAATAAGGACGCTTCATGAAGAACAAAGAGGTAAAGTGGTCTTAAAACATTTAATTTCAGCCTTGATCTCTGTGCTGGCTATTCTTACTTTGTGTCATTTCTGTAAAACTGCCAGATACTAACTCAAGAAAAGCATATATATATCTGTAAAACAATTTTAGATACTAACTGGGAATAAGCCAATCTCATGTATAAAACCTTGTTCCTTAATTATACAAATTTTCTAGATCTTTGAAGTAAACTTAAAAAATATCTGTATAGATCTGTCTATAGTCTAATGATAAAATAAAATACAACCGCATTGCAGACAAACGAACATCTAATTGGTCAAAGAGACAAATTTTACTTTCTGCAAGTATGTCATGACCAGACTTCATAATTAAATGTAAACAAGTCACTATTCTTGCCAAATGAAAAACAAAGCTTTTGTCTTGATTAAAGATATTAGATTTCTTGTTGTTAGAGAAATGCTTTCTGGTGTGATATTAAAAGAAACCTTTCTTATTATATATAATATTAAATAAACCCGACTGTCTCCATAAATTACACTCAAAAAATCCTTACATATTTGGAACTTAAGACAGGAAAGTCGCTGTCTTGTTGTCAAATGTAATTTGGCTGAAGTTTGATTGAATTATTTTTGTCTCCTTGTCAAATCTAATGTTTATTGGGCTGAAGTTTAATTGAATTATCTTTTTACAGCTGATTATGACAAGAAAAGGCGTGAGTTAGAACAAGAAAATGAAAAAGCCATGAGAAGAAAGTATGAAATAGCAGACGAGGAGAAGCAGAGGAAAATGGATGTCTACAAAAATGCCCCACCTACTGGAGTAACTTCCACCAGTGGAACAAATGTTTTAGCGGATAAACAAAAATTAGCAGATGCAGAAAAGCAGAAGAAATTGGAGGGGTACAGTCAGGTAGCAGAAAAAAAAACAGGTGCTGACGGGTCTATTACTACTACAACTACAACTATTACTACGGAAGATAAAAAAACACAGGGTGATATCTATATATACTCTTGTTTTACCTCCTAGATGCCAACAAGCTTCCGTGATGCACCACTTGTAGTGCCTGGCATGCCTGGTCGGTAATGGAGTAATTTATCCATTTTAACCCCACCATTTTTCATCCCATTCCTCATCACAAACAAAACAAACCAGAGTGCATTTCAACACCTTTTGATATTTTCCATACACACTGTTAACCTGTTTTTCATTTAGTGCAGTATTGCAGTGAAATATTTGGCCATGCGGACATGTTTTTTCTCACCCTGGTGTTAGTAAATGTAGGTCTAATATCTTGTTATTAAATACATGCTGCGCTTCAGTAAAGTCAAGAAAACCTCCACCTGGGTTATCTTGAACAGATGCATCTGTCGTCAAAACAAGCTCCTCCCATTTTCTCTACTCACCGCCGGCCGTCTCGCAGTAAAAGAGAATAGCAATGGCCCCTCAGCTTTTTTCAGATTAAATCCTGGATATGAACAACACTATAAGAGATTTGCATAAGGTTAACTCTCATTAGTGGTATGAGAAACACTAACTTCAACTTTAGGAGGGGGTGTGGGGGGAGGGGATTTAGAAAGTCTTGCGATATACGTCAAGTACGTCAAATTACGTCTAATTTGTAAACCCATTCATGCATTGCTACATTGTCAGAAGCAATGTTTGAGGATTTGATTTATTTATTCTACAATTTTGACGTCTTTTTCAATATATCAAGTAATCCATTATTTATAGACAGAACGCACACCTCCGAATATCTACACAAACTTGTCTTTTATTATAGATGGATGGTTTAATATAGTTGATTTTGGTAAATGTCCAAAAACAAATACGGGGGTTGATAGTGATGGCATCTGCAATATTTGTTTCTGTAATGGGCGCTTTCTCAATCTGTTTGATATCCCTTTACTAAATATCATTGGCCTATTACATATAATGTGTTATTGTTTGTAACACATGGCTACATCATACTGCCTCATTAAACTTATATTGGATTTTTCAAAATATAGACACTTTTGCACAACATATATTGTCATCACCCCTGTCCGTCCGTACACAATTTCTTTGTGGACACTCTACAGGTCACAATTTTTATTTGATCTTGACGAAACTTAAAATATAGTTCTATCTCCCAAAGATCTCGGTGAATTTTGATGTTGGCATAAATCGGACCATAAGTTCCTGAATTATGGCCCCTAATTGTACGAAAAATCAGATTTTTAGCTTGTGGTTCTTCTAGAGATCACAATTTTTATACGATTGAAAAAAAACGTTTGAATATATCACCCGAATAATGGCTGAGTTCGAATTTCTTGAAAATGGGACCAAAACTGCTGGACAAATGGCAGCCCCTTGTATACAAATAATAGTGTAATTATATAGTATATCAAGGTTGTGGACGCTCACAATTTTGATCCGATTTTGATGAAACTTGAAATATATCTTTATAACCCAAATATCTTGGTTCCTGTCGATATTCATGCATATCGGATGGTAACTTCCTGAATTATGGCCCTTGATTGTACGAAGAATCTCTTTTTGTTTAGATTGTTCTCTATCTATCTCTTGCAAAATGTAGGCTTATCTGCCTGGCAGCCGCTGGTTGTGTCAGAAATACCATTCAGATTTAAAATAAGAACTAACAATTAATCCAATCATTAATGTAAAGATATGAAATAATCATGGTACCATTTTCATCATAAAACAAATAATTAGCAAAATAATATTTGGATAATCAGTTACTCAAGTTAACAGTCAATTACAAAATAAAATACAAACAAATGAAATATCATTCATAAATTTAACATAGATGTTGTAGCTAAATTGCAATATTGTAATTGTAGCTATATGTATATAGTTAGGTGCAGTTTACAATATTTTATGTGTGATGCTATTTGTACTAAAAATGGTGTGCTCATGAATCGGCTTTGTAAAAACATTTAGCTAGATTGTTGCAGTTAATTTATGCAGTATTTTTTCAAATTTTTTCAAATTATTGTTAAAAATTATATTGAGTTTGTGTGGTTAATGTGCTAGTTTTACCCCATAATTTCTTAACTTTTAGCGTACTGGTAATCAGAATTATGAAATCCCCATTTATTGGTAGAAATATATTAATGTTAATCTTTTTGCTTTTATTTGAATCATTGTTCATTGAGAATTGAAATCTTTTAGGAGGAACGTCCACCACAGTGAAGAAAACCACATTAACGAAAACCTCTACACCAATGGGAATGTCATATGGTAAACAACCAGCAGGTATGTATTATAACGGCCATCTGTTATTGAAGCTTGTGAGTTTTGTTATGATAGTTAACTTAGACACAGCATGTTCATCTATATCATGATCATTGTAATTAAACACATATTACAAACTTGACCACAATTACATAGCATCTGATTAATTAAAGTAAGGATGTGTGATTTGCATTTCTTGGAAAATATCAAATATTAATCCACTCTAATATGTACTTGCGCTGATTATTTAATGTTTAAATAAAATTCAGAAAACACAAAATCAAAATACCAGCACTACATAATCTCCCGGCTTGAATTCCATTGGATGTTATAGGCCCATCAATTTGGTTAACGGCAAATAAAAGATGGCAGTGCTTGTGTTACATATCGAGCAGCATATAGACCAATGGAATTTTCAGTTCATCATATCTTTGTAAATACTGAACAGAATTTAACCATTTATATGGAGTGATATTTCTATTAGAGATTCAACTTTTACAAGGGATTCTATAGTGCTAAAATCACTATAGAGTCTTTAAAAAAACACAAGCAGGATACAAGAATGACAATTTCTTAGTATGCAAAATGTTCCGGTAAAAAGCCCAGAACTATATTTATAGAATTCATTACATGTTATTTTAACAAAATAATTTATTGCTATTTGAAACATCAATCTTAAAGTAATTACATTATTTTGATGGATTGTTGGCAACTACGTAGCTGTTCAATTTCAAACCAGAATATTTTGGTAATACTCCATGAGATTCTTTTCAAAGACCTCTGTTTTCTTAAATATATTAATTATAAGATATTTTTAAAAGGCATGGAAAATATAAGTAATGAAATCACTACAATAACAATTTTATCATTTCATGTAATGAAACTCATCATGTGTTATATGCACGGTTTTATGTAACAACTTTTGTTTTATTTGATTTTGTTTGTGTTGTGTGTTTTCATTGGCTTGTAGATCAAGCAGCTAAAGAACTGACCAATAAGATCTTAAGTAACTGTGGCTATGGCACCAGTGGACAGATCTCGGTGAAGACAGAATCGTGGAACAGTAAAGATGGTTTGGTAGAAAAATCACAGAAAAAGGAATCATGGGGAGGTATATACGTATACAGCAACTTGCTTATACTGTAACTAATTTATTTGTTATTCTAACAGACTTCATATTGCACCTGGCAGTACTTCCAAGTTACTGCCACACTTCTAACTAACAGGTTATTATTCACAAATATACCTAGGTAAAGGCATCTGCTCTGCTCCTCATAAAAATTACAGACATTGACCGAAGTGACGTACCCAACAGGTTAATTGTTATTGAAATTATTGAGAAATATTTGACTGCTCAGTTAGAACAGTTAATGCTCTATCTCTAGTTTTATAAAACTATAAAAATGATTGTGTTTTTCTGTTTAAGTATAACAAAAAATGTAACACTTTAAAGATGTCCATGATAGATAGGACTACAGGTTTCCATTAAGATTAAAGACAAAAATAGACGCAACCCACATACATAAATCATTGTAAATGTACTTTTAACAGGTTATTTCAACTTTAAGCAAATTTCAAAACTGGAGTTCTTGAGATTCTGTTTTCAACAGCTAGAACTTAGAATTTTATCCCTTCGCATTGATTTCAATTAAATCACAAGTATAGTGATAAGCAACATTGGGAAATCGATCCTACAAAAGTTACAGACAATATATCACTGCCCTGTTGTAGTCAATAATTTTAGAGATCCCAGCATGGTGAAGCATGATTAAGTGGCAGCATCTTGATTGGTTTAAAATATATTGGCATGTAAATAAAGGTGTTCTCTACCTGGCCAGAAGCCTGTGAATTTGTTCCAACTTGTCATTTATGTTGAGTTGTTATTGTGTTACGGTTGTGTTTGGGAATATAATTGAAAGAATATTAGTTATATCTAGTACTGTAAAGAAATAATTAGGCTAATCATTTGTAAGTGTTTTTTTTTTTTTACTACAACAAATTTTTTATTTGTTTTTGTCTACAGTAATTGACATGAAATTCTGATAAATTGTTAAGATGATTTCTAAAAATAATTATATGGAGATAAAGTGGCCGAATGTTTGGAAGATACTTCGGGGCTACCTTTAATTACTTCTCTCCTTGTGTGTAACAGTAAATGGTTGCTCTACTGCATTAGGTTTTTGTTTTCAAGAACATTTTTTATTTGTTTGGTTGTGCTTTTGTCGATTTCTAATCATTTGGAAATGAAGTGTCTGATTATTTGAAGAAACTTTGGAGCTACTTATAATTCTTCTTCCTGTTGTGTACATATTATGATTGTTCTTTTACATAAGATTGATAACGTTTGCAGATTTTTTAAGAATTTGTTGAAGTTTTTTTATTACATATATACCAAGGCAAACCGACTGATATTTTAGTCATTGGGACAGTGTTAGCATAAGTACTTGGTAAAATGACTTTTAATATATTTTATTTATTGTTTCTAGGAGGAACTAAAGGTGCTATGGCTGCCTTCAAACAAATGGATAAATCTTCTCCTGGACAGCTTGGAAAACCTAAGTAAGTTTATATTATAGAAACCTTATTTTAAGAAAAATAAATAACAACAAAAAAAAAAACATTAAAATTTTGAAATAATTTACCAGTTGTATGGTAAAACATTATTAAAATAATTCAACTATAGTACTTTTGGTAAAAAAAATATTTTGTCACCTTTGTTTTTATTTCCAAATGTGGGTTATAGTTGACCAGAGTTCTTTATTTCCTTAAAGTTTTAACTTAATCAGACTTAGACATTTTACCAGATTATCTTATCTATGGAAAAAATGTAAGTCAGCATGCAAAGAAATATTTTATTGCTTACTTTTTTTCAGTTTACCAGATAGGTATGTTGTTTCTAATTGAAATGACATATTCATTTTTTTCCTTTACTTATTTTATTTATTTATATATTTAGATTTTATCTTCTATATTTTTAAACCTTAAGATAATAATATAATGGATATCAAGAAGTGCCAAGTAGATGTTTGCACATCTTCATTTCTCAAAATTTTCAGAAGCATTTTAGAAGTTTTGCATTAAAGTTTTTGCTTTTTAGATTTAAAAAACTTCATCACCACGAATATATTATCAATTTCATTAGATTCATTCTGCTTTTAAAATATTTGTCCCTCCATATTTAGTCTTTCAAGATTGATGAATTTACCTTGATAACTTAGCTTTGTAATGTGTACAAGGTGTACAAATGATATTTATTTTTTTTTGTAAGGTATAAAAAAAGTCTTGACTTAAAATTAGCTTTTTAACATAGATCATTTTTAATTATTAAATAACTTTTTATTTTTCAAAGTTTAAAGATGAACGAAATTTATATAAGTTAAAATAGATAAGATAAACAAGAAAATACATACCTTATCTACTAACAGTAGCATACTTTATGTTATGTGCTGATACATAAATGATTCTATTAAGATAAATACAGATTTAGAAATGTGTTGCATGAATACACTTAATTATGTTGCATGTTTTGTTTCTTACCTGCAGTGCCTTAGTTACGGTTACCATGGCAAAGAAGGCAGCTAGAAATATGCAGCGAAATGCTGTTGAAATCAAAGAAGAGTTAAAACATTTTGTTAAAAATAATACACAAGAATATGAGGTACCATTAGTTGAATTTTGTAAACAAAATCCCCAGAAATATTGATAAGTTAATTAAGACCTCATTTAATGAAATGTTTGATTATAGAATTGATAAATATCTTATTTTAGAAGATATGCTATAAAAAAAGCATTTGTAGAATCATTACATATATTGAGTTGAAATTTCTTTGACCATTAGGCCTAAATTCTATAACTTTGTGGGTGGGGATGGGGTATTGGAGAGGTAGTCTGCAGAAAGTCTCTGTTCTAATATTTGTTTAATAACTGTTTTTAAAAAGTTTTGATCTTTCAGTTAGGAGTCTCTAGGTAGTTAGACTTAATTAGAAGGAGATTATTTTTAATATGGTACTGGTTAAATGTTACCTATATGGCTTGCATTAGTTACTGTTATATCTCGTTTAATGATGGATTCAGCGATCTTATTGACATCATCTAGCTTGTGCACAAAAGGGTGGCTTATATTGGAGTTATCAGTGTTATAGTGACATGCCCTTTTCTTAAGAAATTGATTTGGTTAATTATCAGTCCATAAAGATTTAAGATTCATATATTATGTAGTTATATATGAATGTAGCAAGAAGTCTCAAAATCTTGAAAAGGATCAGTTTGTCTTGGGTACTAAAGGGGAATAACTCTGATTGTTGCTTTCTATCAGAAGGATTTGTTCTTAAAATAATCAAAATGTATCTCTACAAATGCACTGAAATAGATACATTTATTTGATCTTTGATTAGGTTTTTTTTCTTATCTCTTGAATGATATAATGGAACTTTATATTTATTTTCTTAATTAACAAAGAAGGTATATTCTTGTTTTTCCTAAAATAATCTCCAAAACTTTCCTGTAGTAATTGATCTTTTCTTGCCTATTCATAAATCATTATTTAACATAGTTTATTTCCTTTTCATTTAGGTTTTTTTCTTTTTAAAGCTGTGTGTAGGAGTTGCTGTTAATCACCGAAATAGCTACACCTGAAACATATGCTATTAAATATATTTTGCTTTGAGTTTTGGCAGCACTTCAAATGTTACTATATTTTTTTTATTCAGCCATATAACTATATTCAGTATGAGTATTTGTGTTTGATATTATACAACACAAATGTTATTAATCACTGATTCTGTGATACTACAGAAGATATTTCAGCCCACATTTGTTTTATTTTAAAAAGAAGGCTTCCTTAATTGTTTTTTTGTATTTGGCAGAAATATAGAAAAATTTGGAAAACACAGTGAATCAAAAAATGAAATCAGAACTACAATATTAAGAAGCAAGACCTAATATTTTACATCTGTAATGAGCTGAAATGTCTCCCATACATTCTCTGTAAAACATGTATAATAACTTTTCTTGTTATAACCCAAATTTATTTTTAGCTCTACAAAAAATGTAGTCATGTATAGTAAAGTCAGTACATATTGATACATGTTTTTAACTTTTTAGAATATATGTAGAAAATTTTGAAACGGCATCCTTGATGTGAACAGTCTGGTTTGCTGTGCATTTAATGAAATGTGTTTGTTATGCCATATAAATTCTATTTTACTATTGTATTATCTTTCTTTCTAAAAGGATAACTCGTAGTCCGAGTGCAATTAAACAGATGCTGTTAGAATGGACTAAAGCTATGACTCGTGAATACGAGGTAAATGATCATGCCTAGAACCGAGCCGATGCGGCATGCTATTATTCATTTCATTGTTCATTTGTATGCCTTGGTGAAATGACGCAAATGTGGTATATATTTTGTTAAAATTAAATGGTGCATGATGCTTTAGATATCGTTATTGGTAAAAATGGTGACATGGTTTTGTAGATGTAGTAATTTAAAATAAAGTTAATTAATAACAAAGTGGTTATTATGCTTTCAATTTAGTGAAAATGTTGCATATAATTTAAATATAATACCATAATGGATTAATATTCACATAGAAAAGAAGTTATAGATGAATTTAAATACAGTAACATCTTTTCTCATAATAATTATTTGATAATTGTTCTCATATTCGGGTAAATTTTCAACTAAATTTTATTTTAAAAAAATTCAAAATTTCAGTTGATTTCAAGTACATTTTCTGTTAAATTTTTATCTGAGAAAATATAAAATCAATGAATGTCAGACTTTTATAGACAAAAAAATAGATTATCTTTTATATTTTCTTAGTGGTCGAAATTTGGGAGCTGATTATCATATTATTATTACCTAGAAATATATTATCTATGAATCATATTTCAGTTCATTCATTTTCAGAGATGCAGATGGAGGCTTAATTATTATAGCATCATTTATCATTATAATTCTAAACCTATTCATACAATAATTAATTGATAGTCATTAATTAACCCATTCTCTCTTCCAATATCTAAAACATAACATCTCATTTATTCTTCACAAAGTGCTGGTGGAGCGGCTAAGCCTAATATATCTCGAAGCCCAAGTTCTATAAAACAAGTCCTACTGGAATGGGCTAAGGCTATGACCAGAGAGTATGAGGTAGTATGCTATAATAGAACCAAGCATGAGAGACACAACTTTAAATAGCTTTAGGACTCTGTTTTTCCTCTATCACAATAAATGGTCTATCAAGTTGTAATTTTGAAAAAAGCTACATTGTGTATTTTCGACCACTGACAGTTTTAATCATAACATCTCGATATATATATTATATATGGCTTGAAGATGCTCAGTATGAACAGAAAGCACATTCCAAAATGCCAACAGAGATTGGTTTCTTATTGGCAAAAAAACAACTTACTGTGTCCAATCAAATAGTTGTAGTAGATATTATGGCTAAAATCTGTCTAAGCTGCATTTTTATCTTGAAAGAATTTAAGGTTGGTCAGCTATTGCACGTATTACAGATCTGGACCACAGATTTAGTTATCTCAACGCCATTTTACATTATATTTCTGTGTTATTTTATTTCATTTCAACATCAAAGCTTTATCCTAATGTTATGCTAGACAATATTTTACATGGCATGCAATTCTATAAACAAAAAAATGACACCAATTTTGATTTGAGAGAAACATGAGTAAGTTATTTTTCCCTCCCCCAACTAATTTACAAATAGATTTGTTGTCTGAGTGCTGCTTATTCCAATTGATTCAAATGAAGTTGATCAGTCCAGTAGGAGAGAAGAGGGTACACTTTAAGGGCATTGAGCAGTCTAAAATGCACATTTTAAAGTTAGCACTGTAATTTTTGTTGATAAGATATGATATTTTTTGTTATTTTTGGTGGTAAACTACATATTAATCATCCAAAAAATACCAATTTTATTTACCAACTATGTTCCAAACTTGACCCAAAAGCATGGTAATAAAGGGTGCTGATGACAGCAAAAGTCATATTTTGTCAGTTATGCCTGCATAGATTTTCTTTAAATTTGGCATGAACAATGCTAATAGCAAGTTCGAAAAAGCTACCCTGTGATTTGTCTGGTATCCATGGGAATGCAAAAAAAATGATGAGTTTTCTTGGAAATTCTGTTAGTACATGTTAAAAAGAGATATCGATAATCACACCAGTAGATTGAAAGTAGAGTTTATAATCTACATTTCGACACCAAAAACGTTGTAAAATATCATCTCAAAGTATTTTAAAATCATTGTTCATTATAAACCTTCAAACAAGATTTTGGGTTAGGGCCTTATTCTTTGAATATGTCCAAAACAAATGTTAAAATACAACAATTCAGACGTAAAATGTAAATATCTACTTCAGTGCCATGATTGTTTACAGAGGATGACAAGAAAGGTGCATATACGACGTCATAATTTATTCAAGAACTGATCTAGATCGGGGAAACCTTCTATTGTTTGCTATAAATATATTTTTTCTTTCCGCTTGTACCTCCATTATTACACGAACAAACGATCAGACTGTTATGTGTCCTCTGGGTTATTTTACACATGGAACAAGTGGACATAGTCTTAATAAGATTGGTGTTGAAAAGTTAATGTGTATCTTAGACTACTCAATGCCCTTAATTAAGAAAATATAAACAGTTTCGTACACTTTTAACTTCATTGATTTAAACCATGTGTTCAGCAAGTCCCATCCCTCTATGAATATCGTAGCGACAAGCCAGAGTCTCTCTCTCTCTATATATTCTCTGATGAATTGTAGATTTTCATAGTTTCTTGAAGCATGGCTTTTCCAATCAAAATACCTCAAAATAATCTATCAATTTAATTTCTGTTTTCACTTTGGTATGTATATGTGTTTCTTTTGTTTTGTGTGTTTTCTGTAAATGAAAATGTTCATTTAGTTTGGATAGATTTTAGTTTGGAATGTTATTTTAGCTTTAAATGGGTTTGGAATCTTATTTTAATTCTATATGGGTTTGCAAGTAAGTTTTGAAGTTAGAGTTTAACTAAAATACATTTTATGGTCAAAATTCATTAATTTACTTTATACGTTATACACCATAACCATTGTTTTCTCTTGAGAACAGCCTCTGTCGATCTGAAGGTTGAAATGTTCAATTTAAAGAAGTTGGAACCGTAAAATGTATTTTATTGGGTTTGTATAAGGTTTCTGCACATATATTGTTTGATTGTGTCCCTAGGTGGAATACACAATTGAGGATTTATTTTAGGAAAAGGTTGTTATTTATCAAATAATTTAGCCTCATTGCTTTGGTGGGCTTTATGGGCTTTATTAACACTTTGCAATTGGACACTTTGTAAAAATAAAATCAAATCTAATTTGAATGTTTTAAAATATTTAATATTTTAATCCTATTTTAGGAATAATTGTCCGATTTTGTAACCCTTCAGTGTTTATGAATAATTCATAAAAGTAACATTTTATTTTCAGAATGTTGAGGTTACTAATTTCTCTAGTTCATGGAATAATGGTATGGCCTTCTGTGCCTTAATACACCATTTCTATCCAGATTCTTTCGACTTCTCAAAACTTGACCCAAAGAAAAGACGAGATAACTTTAACTTGGCATTTGATAAAGCAGAGTAAGTATACATATGTACAGCTGGATTAAACTACTGCATGGGACCTATAGTCTTATAAAAGTAGTAGTATTATTTGTATACTTTGTGAATCAGTTCTGAGATCAGTTTAACTTACCTTGAAATTATTAGATAATGTAATCCCATTAATTACAGTGTTAAATAAAATGACCTCAATATATAGAAAGTGATAATTTGCTGAAACTGCTAACCTTATATACACACCTTATAGTGGTTGTACTAAAGCAGTGGTTCTCAACTTTTTTTTGTCAACGGCACACCCAATCTGACTAAAATACAGATCTATATTTCGTTTCGTTTTTTTATACTTTCGATGGCCTACACTACATGAAGATCTGACAAGTTATAGTGATAGATCACGTCAGGGGTCAAAAGACCGACTTATGACCCTTTTGACGTCAGACATTTGATTAACCAATCAGTATTGATGTTACGAGTGGATTACCCACAGTTCCGTGAAAAACACGCTTAAAGCTCGCCGTAACAGACCGTTTCATTGACACCATTCAGAACACAAGTTAAATAACAACTCTTCCAGATCCAAGTGTAGTAAAGATAAGTAAAACGAAATTTTGAACTATAAAAACGAAATAGGATCTGTGTTTTAACCAGATTGCGGCACACCTTGGAACATATGAAAAAATAGCGGCACACCTGGATAAATTTATATGAAAAATATCTGAATTTTGCAAAATAAAAACATGGTAAGTCAGACGGCATAGAACCGTAGACAGTGACTAGTCATAGACACATACAGAATGACTAAAACTAAATAAAGAAAAACACAGCTATGAACTTATCAGTAGACACCGATGAATACTCAATTGGGATCACATGTTTTTTTCCAATTTTCTTAGTGTTCCGTTCAAAATTTTGGGGCACACTTAGGAAGATCTCGCGGCACACAGGTGTGCCGTGGCACACTGGTTGAGAATCACTGTACTATATAGTAATAAAGCAAGTGCAGAATCACTAAATAGACTTGATAGCTTTCTAACATTTAGCACATAAACAACATTTACTACTATGTAAATCTAGCAACTGTTTCTAATAGAAATGAAATGGGGTTTAAAGTCCTACTGTACTGCTCCGACTGTTCTTATAAAAATGGGCATATGTTGTACAGTGTGCTATGAGAGAAATTATGGTACGGCCTACTCTTATATTGAATTCCCATATCTAATAGAATGTTGGAGTGAATCTATGTAGGTGAAAAGAATAACTGTCTTTACGTTTGTAACAGGTTTTGACTAAAGAGGTGTAATGGTTTGACGTTCATGAAAATTGCAAGATTAATTGTGTTTTTCACTGCTCAATTCCCCCAAAATTTTTGTATGCCCACATGTTCATATTGTCGTCATACCGACGACCACAATATTTGTGGACATTCTACAGGTCACAATTCTTATCCGAATATGATGAAACTTGAAATATAGGTTTATCTCCATGTATCGGATCAAAACTTGTTTATATGTTTATATCTTCCTGGATTATGGCTTTTAGCTTGCGAACCATCTAGAGGTCACAATTTATATCCGATTTTTAAAAAACGCTTAAATATATCACCCTAATGACAGTTGTAGAACGTCTAGAAGTCACAGTTTTTATCAGAGCGAGAGAGACATGGGGTTTAACGTCCACTCGACACAAACTAGGTGATTTTGGGACTAACATATGGTTTAATTTTATTTCAATAATTCACTTGCATGTAGGGGTCTTTAGCAGTGGGAGGAATCCAGAGTACCCGGAGAAAACCCACGAGGTTGGACAGCCGACCCTACTCCTTGTCACGTACAACCGGGGATTCGAAACCTCACCAGTTGACTCAATGACAGGTCGTATGATACAGCACGCACGTGCTAATCATTCGACCATCCAACCCCCCTAATTTTTATCAGATTTTCATTAAACTTAAATATGTTTATGTCCCAACGATCTCGGTTCCTTTTGCACATACAAGACCGTAACTTCCTGGATTATGGCCCCTGATTTACAAAAATCGTGTTTTTAAATTGTTGACCCTCTAGAGGTCACAGTTAAGTTTTAATCGATTTAAAAATCGTTTAAATATATCACCTTTACACAATAATGATGGTTGAGTTTTTATTTCGTTCGCATATTGGACCGTAAGTTCCTGGATTATGGCCCCTCCTGGTATGAATAATTGCTTCTTTTTTTTGGAGCTTGTTCTTTGTCCATATCTTGCAAAATGTGGGCGTATCTTGCATGGGAACTGCTTGTTTATTGTGGATGCAGCTCTCTTTACAATTACCAAATATTGGTGGCAGTGTTGACATGTGCAAATATTTTTATGCAGATTAAATATCTTAATATTGTCCATAATGTTAACTATAATATTATTACAGAGAGTTGGCTGATATTGCACCTTTATTAGATGTTGAAGATATGGTGAAAATGAAAAATCCTGATTGGAAATGTGTTTTCACTTACGTCCAAAGTTTTTATAGAAAACTCAGAGACCATGAAAGAAACAAAGCAGCACCAGCTTCTCTCCCTAAAACAGTGGAACAGTGATGCGTCATTCTAACTTTATGCTTGTTACCATAACAACTGAAGGATAAGATAGACAGTTGTTGTGTTTAATAATATGCAAGACATCTTTAATGAATTTTTTTACTTATATAAAAAGTGGTGCTAAATCTAAAGTTGATTTGATCATGATCAGCAAATTCATATTTCTTAACCTTTGGTTGCTATGGTGACTGCAACCATCATTTCTACTTTAATGGTGCCTGCTGTTTTTACTCTTTTATTTTTAAAGCTGTTGAAAATCTTCATTACATAAATTATTATCATAAACTCTTTTAGAATAAACTATTTATACTTTGTGTCTTTTGTTTCCATGTGATGTATTATGATATATATCTCTTGTTTATAATGTATAATAGTTTTTATAAACCAAATAAATAGTGACAGTCAATAGTAATAGGGCAGACTATTAGTATATCTATTTTAAACTGTAATCAACCACAAAGTAACAAAGATTTGTTCTCCTTCCTTGATGGGATTTTCAGATATATGGAATCATTTCTATGGTATGACAGGGAAAGTGTTTCTAGTTATATAGTAAAGACAGATGGGTTGTATTCAAAAAAAAGTATCTCGGCAAATGGATGGGCAAAATGTATAGTCTCAAAATAGAGAAGTTTATGTTTACTGCATGTATAGCTTTCGACATGGATTTAAACCAAGATTTTGAAGCTTTAGAAAGTAACTGTGGAAAGCTACATACACAAGGCTTGGTAGTTATTTTCTTAAAGACAACATGGATGAAAACAACCCTGGAAAACTTCTTGGACCAAGCTATTCTCTGTCAGTTTGTGGGAAGTAAAATAACTATTTTTTTTTGTTATGGTTGCTTACTTGACCCAAATTCTTAAATCAAAAATGCCTTCTTCGTAAAATTTATGTAACTTATTGTTAATATTGGATTGTTGGGTGAAATCCAAAAGGATAAGCCTGAATTTTAATAATAAAAGTTGTATATTTTTAGAAATACTAATTTCGTAAACCGAACTATGATATGCAGTGCCTTGATTGATGAAAAGATTGTTAGATATTTTTGTTAGCTTTAAATAATATATTATTATGTTTTCTTATAAAAACGATAAAAAAACAATGTGTCTTAGCATTTTTATAATTTAAATATCATGTATTTATACCAAATGTTAAAACAGATTTGAACCATTTTTTGTAGTAAATAAGATAGAATAATTTTAGATCATATGTTATTTGATTTTGTGCAATTGTGTTTTTACTAATGATATAAGGGTTTACAGGAGAATACTCAAAACGTTTTATGCATACTTATATTCTTAAATAATATTGACATAGATTTAAAGGGAAGGAGATAACTTCCCGAAGAGGTAAACAAATAATTAAATATATTGTACATACAATTTTACATACATATAAACAATTATCTATGTTTTATTACTAACAATATGATAAGACGTCTGCACATTTTGTTGCATATATAAATCTCTATTGTTTGTAGATCATAGGTTGAAAGGAAAATGCCACTGAACAGATTTCTTTATGTTTAAAGGGACATTAGCCTACATTGAATAAATGGCTGTGTTGAAATTATTGTTAATTGAAATTCTATATTTGTTTTGATTTTATTATTTCAACACAGTTTTAAACTAAGGGCTTAATTTCTACCTTTAAGCGTTAAGGAATTTGTAGAAATCAGTTTACATCAGTGGTACTTAACTGCTTACAGAGACTTCACAAAATAAGTAGTAAGCATAAAAAAGATATTTGGTAATTGAAACATATATGTTAAACTCAGGGTGATAGCTACCTTATTCTGTATAGCATATAATCAAAACCATATTATATATTTCAATAATTGACCTTAGTCTAATTAAAAATTTTGTACTTAAAAAATAGATTTCCAGCATTATGTTCTTTGCAGGAGTGCCAAATTTTTGTACTGTACTGTCCATTGGAATTTGTGCCATGCAATCATTTATAGTCAGTTTACAATATATTTGTAGAACAAGAAACTGGGTTAAATTCATCAACTCTAGATGTAACACAACAAACTTAATGATTTTGATGTTTTGGGATGTTTGCACTTTATGATTTTAAAAATTTGAAAATAGGGGAGTAATAAATCTCATCCCAAAAAGCAATGTGTACTGTAGGTTAACTATGATACAGACACTTAATTTCCACTCAAAAATACTTTATCTATCTTTAAAGATGAGTTTAAAACCAACTTTTTGTTAAATTTGTGAAGAATCTTGGTAAGTGTTGTGCAAAGTTAAAACCAAATGTGCATTTAAACATACAGTTAGTTAAAGAAAATGTTATAATCTTTAGATGATATAATATTTTTGTTGATGTGTTGTACCTGTTGTTGCCTGAATAAAATATATTACTTGTTGCATTTATAATTTTTATGCTCCCAGAATAAAAAAAGATGTATATTGCCAATTGTTTACATTAGTGAGATGAATAATCCTATTTAATTTCAGTAATTTCCATTAATTTCTTTGGTGCTCCTTGTGAACACTCTAATGAAAAAAGTTATCAGCCGATCTGTATGAAACCTTTATGCATCATTTAAATTAGTGAAATGAAGAAGCCTGTTGAATTTCAACATATTCCGTTTATTACTTCTAGAGTTATAGCCCTTGTTTCACTTTATTGAACCTTGTGAACGGCCTGAATGCTCTAACGACAAAAGTTATCATCCAATCTGTATGGAATTTATATGCATAATTTAAATTAGTGAAACAAAGATTCCTATTGAATATCAGCAATTTCTGTTGATTGCCCCTAGAGTATATGCCCCATTTTTACTTTGTTTAACCTTGTGAATGCTCGAACGACAAAAGTTATCAGCCAATCTGTATGAAACCTATATACGGTTTCAGTTTAAATATTTGTAATTTGGCCTTAAATATTTGAACTAGGCTTACAGCTACCTAGTTAGTAAAAACAAGCCAACAGGGAGGCTGATGTTCCCCACCGAAATCCCAAAATAAATAGATGAAACATTTTAATTAATCCCCATTTATTTTTTTCAAAAGTATCCGAGCAATCAAACTATACACTAAGTTTCATCACTCTCTATCAGATAGAATTAAGATTATCTTGTCCCAAAGCACCGACCAATGAAATTGATTAGCTCTGCTTCATCACTCTCACTTAATTAGAACTAAAGTTATCGTGTCCCAAAGCATTAACCAATGAAATTGCTTATCTCTGCTTACCCTAAGAAGGAAAATGCTAATCTTCGAACTCCATCAAGGCACTGACCGAATAAACACATACACCAAGTTTGAACATTCTAGCTCAATTAGAAGGAGAGTTATTGTGTCCCAAAATGTGTGACGGACGGACAGACGGACGGGCAGGCAGAAAGACAGACAGACGGACGAACCCATTTTAATAGTCCCCTGCTTTCTTCGAAAGGTGGGGGACAATAATGTAGGGTCTAACTGAAAGGGTATGTGGGTGTGGGTTTTTATTTTAGTGGAAAAAAATCACATGGTTCTAATGCATTTTACAAAACTAGGAACAGATTCTAGTCCCCATTATTTCATAACCATATTGCTCAACCAATGTCAAACTTATCTCCTTGGTCATCAGACTCAGGGCTTCGCCCATAATGTCTGGGTAAACACCCGCTCACCAACCCTTGCAGGCCCCTAGGACCCCACTATAACGATATAAATATTGGGCTTGTGTGCTCACACATGGCCTTGTGCGTCATACAACACCGGCAGTCAATACGCACGGAATGTATCTTTAAATTCATTATGTTTTGTTTACTTTTTATACGCCCACATTGAAATGTGGTCGTATATTGTCGTCGGTCCGGATTGTGGACGCTCTAGAGGCTAAAGTTAATATCCGATTGACTTTAAATTTATACACAGTGTTTAAAGTCATGAGACGAAGAATCATAATTGATTTTCAATAATTTCCGATAATTTCTGCCAAAGTTATGGCCCTTGATCACTTTGAAAATCTTGTGACCCTCTCGAGGCTAAAGTTATCATCCGATTGACTTCAGATTGCAACAGAGTTTAAGGTTTTGAGATTTTCAATGAATTTTTATGACTTGAACAGCTAAATCCACGATGTTAAAAGTTTCGTATACTAAACGTTAGCATGGGGCAGAACTTTATAAAAAAAACAAATAAATTCTAATGGTTTTCTGATAATTACTTAATGAGTTATTACTCTTAATCAGATTTTAATGTATTATAAATGTTTCATTACTGAAAAAAAGTAAAAATATGCGACAACTCTTGTTGACTGCCCGGACGATTTAGCTGCCGTGGGCGTATGTTTCGTTGCCTGGCAACCTATCTTTATTTTTTTCAGCCTCATTTGCTATCAATGCAACATCGATCTGCCCATGCAACCAAACCTACATTGGATGTTATACGATTCCCGAATTTCAATTTACCCCAATAATAGACTGGTGTCAACTTTATGGATTCAATTTAAATGCCACGGTTGACTTCCTGTTCTTCGAAACAAGTCGGAAATTAATGGAAGGTACTGTGGATTTCGGTTATTTGAACGGCGCATCTAAACAAAATCAGTCGTCTCTGGTTTAAAACCTGTATAGGTTACTAGTAAAGTACAGCAGCTGCCTTAAAATGCCATTAAACGAAGATCATCCACATAATTTCTCGGTTATCAGCAAATCTATGAATTAAGTCTTAATAATTCGATCGTCAAAGGAATGGTGCTAACAACGGTCCACTCAACTGCCACCATTGTTATACATGGGAAATGTCCTATTGCTGTTTCGAAACATCTACTGTGATCTGTGGCATAATATTTCGGAAGAATCACTCTGCAAAACTATGGTAACTGGCAAAGCTTCGAATTATTGTGATGATATAAATGTCACCACAGAATACGAGCACGGGGGTGAAATCTGTAATACATCGTACGTATATTAAGAAATAGCACCGTAAACATATTTAAAGAAGAATGCATGGAATGTTTAAGCACTTATAATTCCACATACCAAAGTTTGGAATGTTTAGTATGCACCCAGAAACCAACAAGTGTGTCCCATACTCGGAAAAAAGCCGCGATTGTATATAATATCACAGCGAGTTCTATTAAATACTTTTTAGATGCAATTAACTCCCTACCTTTATCTTTATCAGCCAACAAAATTTCACTTAGTATCACTAATTTTGATGAACAATTTTACTTGTTCACGGTGAACTTTTGCTTGTATCCGCAATGCAAGTTTACAAGTTCAAAGCGAAACAATCTTTGTTGAAGTGATGGCCAACACTGTCACCTTCTTCTATTCATTAGCCAACACTTTGACTAATTTAACAATATCTAGTAGCAGTCTCGTTATAAACATTGAAGAAGTATGTGTCTGTGTACCACATTTTGGTATATCGTTAAACTGTACCTCCCGATTATATAGCAATATCAGTCGAATAAATAACTTATGAAAGAAAGCGGCACACCCTTGGAATACTATATTAATGATTCGCAAGCTATTGTCTGTTACGACGCAACCAAGTTTAAACATTTCTTCGACATGGATCGAGCTCAAACCTACCTGTCGTGGTTTTGCTCTGGGTTATCGATTTTCTTTTTTAGTTTTAGTGATTACTATTTCACTTTACGCTATAATTGCCGAGTTGCAGAATCTCCCTGGGAAACTTACCATCGGTCTTGAAGTGACATTGATATTAGGACAAGGATTACCTATGGTACCAAATGTTGGAGTTTTGGTATGCAGGTATTTAGCAACTATCAGCCATATCAGTTGGCTTTCAGCATTCTTATGAATGTCTGCCCAAGCTGTAAATATGCTTCTCACTATGCATCCTAAATCCATGCGCGTTGTGAGTCGGCGTGGAAGCGATGCCTTTATGAAGTACTGTCTATTTTGTGTTTTAACCCCGATACTGTTTTACATTATGCTCTTGGTCCTTGATGTAATTCCTGGAAACCACTTGCATGTAAAATATGGAATGGCTGCCCTATGTTGGATGTCAGATTACTCTGGTTACATTTTTACCTTTTTTCTTCCCATTGCTCTTGTGTTGGGGAGCAACCTCATCTGCTTCGTCGTCACTTTATATTACATTGAAAAGACGGTGAAGCAATCTGCTAAAATGATCGGAAGAAAACGAGATCGAGATAGGTGCGTCATTTACATTAAACTTGCGTCTGTTATGGGATTCTCGTGGATCTTCGGTTTCATTGCGTCATACACTGACGTCCAGGCTTTGTGGTATGTCTATATTATTCTGATGGGGTTGCAAGGTCTTGTCGTTCAGTGTCAATGCGTGAACTAGGGCCCTCTGACTCAAAGAATTTCTGCTTCTAGATTTACAAATGCGTTTTGGAGCTCAAATCCACCACCAACATCTACAACAGCGACAGCATTATCAACACATCTGCAATAGTATTTTTATTAAAATACTGACCCGTTAATTTCTCAGCAAATGCTTATTTTTCGGCACCAAGCCGTTATATTTTTACTTTAAAGGTGAAAATGCTGTCAGTGGGTAGAATTTTGTCGTCATCAAATGTTTCACCGAAGTTCGTTTTTCAAGATGGTTTTCGTATTCAATATTGTATTCGTATTTACTCGAATTGAGAGAATTCAATTCCGGAATGTTCAATCGAGTGTCCTCCATATGTGTTTTTTTTTACTCTAATTATTAAAGTGTAAAAGGATGTTGTAGTTGGAAAATGATGTAATAAAATGCCTATAATGCTTGTCGGTCCTTTTTCCCAATGCTTTGGGTTCATGGTCGTGGGACTTAAGTAGTGCTGTATTAACCATAAAGCAAAATAAGCACCTGCTTAAGGCAACATGGGAAGGGGGGCACCACAGAATTTCTGCTTTGTTAGATGACGAATTAAAAATATCTAACTTAAGAAATGAGTAAGAATTTTAATTAGTTTTTCGTTCATTTTGTCTTTTCTTACTGTTACCTTCTTTGTCTCAAAATCTTCTAAGTGCTCAGGGTCTCTGTAGGTCTTAATTCGGCCCTGGGGTTAATTTCCGTTTCCACCGAGGATGAAATCGCAGACACAATTCTTTACATTTAATGCATAGACGTACGGGTCCACCATACCGATGTGATTAAGGGGGCTGTAAAATATTGTCTCAATTTATCGACACCACCGCGCATAGATTTATTTGACCGGACGTAGCAAAAAATCGTGATGGTCAACCAGCTTAGATATTTTGAGAGATGGCTGTGGCATGCTAGGCTGTATGTTTTTATAATGATTAAGATCATCGGATATAAGTGACATGGATTTAACATAGAAAGCAATGGGGAGGGGATTACTGGTCTGATCCCATCTACTGTAGAGTGTCAAAAATAGTTATTTCCCCTTAATAATGTCTGCAGGAGACCACAGAAAAAT